CTGCAGGGGCCGCGCGGCCTGGAACTGTGCCGGGCGGCGCGCACCGCGTTCACGCCTGCCGGTATGCACGTCCGCGCCGCCCCTGCCCATGTTGCAGCCCCGCTCCCATCCCGATTTGATCTCCCGCAAATAGTCGGATTTTCTTTCGAGCGCGACGCGCTGACCCGCGTTTTCCGCACCAGCTGCGTGATGGCCACCTTCTTGAACAGCAGCCCCTCCCGCGCGCCCGCCGCCAGCAGCCGCGCGTGCGCGTCGCCCTCCATGCGCCACACGCGCAGCAGTGTGTCCTCCACGCAGCCCAGCAGGCAGGCCCAGGTGTCATCCAGCATGGCCGGCAGTTCTAAGTAGTGCGCCGCGACCCACAGAACGCGCGGCCGGGCCGCGAGCGACAGGCCGCGCCAGCCGGTCAGGGCCTGCGGCCGGGGGTCGCAGGAGGGGTCGGGACGGAGGGGGCCGCGCGTGAAGGGGTGGGGCGGCGATGAGGGCGGGTAAGGTGCCGAGGTGGCGAGGGCGGCCGCCTGGGCGCGAGGCTGGGCGGTTCAAGCGGCCGCTGGGGCAGCAGCGCCACAGGGCGGCTGGCAGGGGCAGGGGCCGTCGGCGCCGGCCTGAACACAGACGCCGGCGGCAGGCGGCAGCGCCGCGGGTCGCGCCTCTGACCAGCCGCAGGCCAAGAGACGTGTCCACAGGTATTCAAGACATGCCCATAAACATCTCGAAAACATCTAGTGAGTATCTTGCAAGATATGCCCGCACCCGCTGGATCATGGCCTGCAGGGAGATGCTCGCGCCCTCCAGCGCCCGCGCCAGCGCGCCGCCGACGTCAAACTCCGCCAGCCTTGATAGCATGCGGCCCCCATTAGCTCGGTACACCGACTTGAGCCCGCCGTGCCCGTGCGCGCGCAGCACCGCGCGCGCCGCCGCGCACGTCGCCTGCAGCAGCTGCAGCCACACGTCCACCGGCACCGTCGTGAGGTTCACAGCCTCCACCGCGGGCAGCCGCGGCGCCGGCGGCTGCCCCGGCAGCGGCGGCGCGAGGGCCGGCTCCCAGCGGAGGCAGCCCGCCGTCGCGCCGAGCGCCGCCACCGCCGCGTCCAGCCACAGAACGGCCCGCTCCTGCAGCTCGCCGTGCGCCGCCGCGTTGGGGTGCAGTGGCTGCTCTACCCTAACGGGCGCCGCCGCGGCCGCGGGTTCTGCACCGTTGGCCGCGGCGGCGGCGGCGGCGGGGTCTTGGTCTGCCTCTCCGTCTTCCGGCGCCAGCGGCGGCTCGACGGGCTCCCCAGGCGGCAGCTGGAGCGCCAGCGTGACTGATGGGTGCCGCGCGAGCACGCCGAGCAGCGCGCACACGAGCTCGTGCTTGAGCGACGCCGGCGGCCGCGCGCCCGCGGGCGCGGCGGGGCCGTCGAACAGGCGGGGCAGCGCGAGGCCCGCGCTTCTCACGAGGTCTGCGGCGCTGACGGCGGCGCCTGATAGCGTGTCGCCGACCGCGCGGGCGCCGCTGGAGAGGCGCTGCTGGGTATCTGTCAGTGCGGATCCGGTGGGGCCTGAGGGGGCAAACAGCGGGGCAGGATTGAAAAATGTTCGATACGCGGCAGGTGCCGCAAAATCCGCTGTGGGGAACCAAGAGGGGAGTCTCGAGGCACCATACAGGCAGGGATGTGGGGTCAACCGCACGCGCATGCTCACGCACGCGGTGTTCAGGCCAGGGGGTTGAGCCCGCGCTGGGCAGCGGCAGGGCGCCGGCCCCCCGCGACGCACGCACTCGTGGGGCCGCCGCCGTCCGACGCGCGCGGCGAGCCGGCGGTCCAGCCCGCGCCGGGGCCCCCCGTGTTGCCGGCCGCCGTGCTTGTGCTCGCCACGCTCGCCCCCGTCGGCCCCGCCGCCGCCGGGCTGAAGCCGCTGCCACCCGTCGGCCCGGCGGCAGCCCCGCCGGGCGGCCCTTCGCCCGCCGCGCCGCTGGGCTGGGAGCCTGGTTGCGGCGCGCCGAGGGCGGGGGCCGGGGCCTGCAGCGGGGGCTGCGGCTGCGCCTGAGCTTTGGGGTTGATGATGTCTTGGATGTAGGGGTCAGCCAGCACTGACGTCAGCAGCGTGCCCTCAGGCCACGCGTTGCCTGCGCGGGCGAAACAGTATAGGATGCAGCATGGGCGCGTGCGGCGGCGAGGCTTTGCGGCGCGGCGTCTGGGGCCGGCGGTCGCTGCAGATGCGGCGCGAGGTGGGGCATCGAAGCCGATCAGCAAACGCCGTCGGGCCCTGCGCCCCCATGCGCGCACGCGCGCGCGCGCCTTTGGCCGCTGCCTCGGCTGCCTGCAGGTGCATGCCCAGCGCGGTGCGCCAGGCCGCGACGAACGCGGCCGTGCGGTCTGTCGGGCTCTGCAGCAGCGAGATCATCGGCCACAGGCGCCGCAGCACGTCCACGCGCGCCTCGACCTGCGGGCGCACGCGGCGCCGTGTGCGTGAGCGCGCGAATGTGGACAGAGGCGCGCGGCCGCGCCCCATCCGCCGCTGCAGGCAACTCCAGAGATACGCAGGTGCTGTATGGGAACAAACCTGGTGTGCTCACAGACCAACGACCATCGATTTGGTGCTGTCAAGCAGGCCTGAAGGCGAGAAACCCGACCACACACGGTTTGGCAAACCCTATCATATGCGAAAATGCTGGCGATCCTCGAGCGCCCACCCACCGGCAGCACGTCCAGGTGGCCGGCCACCAGGCTGATGACCTCAGCCAGCGCCGCCTCCACCAGCAGCCGCTCCTTCAACTCAAGCAGCGCAGAGATGGCCGACGCCGCCACCGCGGGCGGCACGGAGCCGGCGAGGCGGACGGGCGCGAGCGGCGGCAGGCCGCGGGCTGCGGCGGGGGCGGCGGCGCGGCGGGGCGGGGGGGAAAGTGAGCGTCTCCTGACGCTAATGCGCGGTGGTGTGGCCTGGAACATGCATGCAGCCTGGCGCCCTTCCCCTCAGCCAGACGAGCGCTCCCAAGGCCTGTGCCAGCCGGTCCTTGTGCTTGCGAGGCCGCCCTCATCCTCAAATTGCAGCCAATGGCAGCCCTTGCTCCCAACCTGCAGCCAACTGCAGCCAGCCAGTCGCATCGGAGAAGATCCGCCCCCGGGCTCCCCTGCCTCCCCCCCTCTCTTGAGACGCACCCGCCCTCGACATCCTCAGCAGCACGCGCCCCGCCTCCAGCTTGACCGCGGGGTTGAGGCTCTGCAGGGCCCCGGCCAGGTACGCCACCGCCCCCGCCAGCGCCGCGCCCAGGCTGCCGCCCAGGCCCGCGGCATCATCCCCGCCACCGCCGCTGCCGGGGCCGGGCTGACCGTGGGAGTCTGGCTGCGTCACCGCCGCCGCGACGTGGCCGAGGAGTGACACGACGGACACCTGGTCGACCGCGCGGGGAGGTGGTGACGGTGGTGCGTCTTCTTTTGTAATCGCCCGCTGCGACCGCTGGTCTTCTGCACCCCGGTCAACGCGGCAAAACGAGCGGCCAACGGCCCCTTGCATGCAAACAGGGATCTGGACAAGCGAAAAAGCACCGCCCCGGCGGCTGCACACCTGCGCATGCGACGACAGCATTCGCCACGTGTCCATCAGCGGCCCCATGACCAGGCACACGCGCAGCGCCGTGCGCCGAGCACTCGCGCGCATGGCGAGCGCGCCGCGCGTCGCCGCGCCGGCCGCGTCGAAGAGCTTGTTGGTCGCGGCCAGCGCGGCCAGGATGACGTCAGCGGTTGAGTCAGCCAAGCCGTCGGTGACGGCATCCCACCACTCGTCGCTGGTCGCCGCCAGGGCTGTGGGGGTTCCGGCAGCAGAGCGGAGGCCCATGTGAGGCGGAGGCGAGGGACAGCGACGCGAGCATTCAGGCGCCGCACGCAGGCAATCCTTTTCCCACTGCCTCGAACCGCGGGCTTCAAAGGTGCCCAGGCGAGCCCCGATGTCGCAGGCGCGCTCACCTGGCGTCGTCGCGAGCGCCGCCTGCACGTCTGGCTGCAGCAGTATCGCCCCCAGGGTCGTGGTGGCGGCGGCGCGGACGGCGGGGGTCACGCTGAGGGTGTGGGGGACCACCATGGCTGCCACCTCCCCTGCGTCAAGGGATGGGGGCGAGATGATTCGGGGCTGAGGGGTGCATGGTTCAAATGCTTTTTGCTGCAGACTGCTACTGCTGCTGCTGCTGCACACTGCTACTGTTGCTGCTGCTGCTGCTGCTGCACACTGCTACTGCTGCACACTGCTGCTGCTGCAAATTGCTGCTGCTGCACACTGCTGCTGCTGCACACTGCTGCTGCTGCATCATACTGCTTCTGCTGCACAGTGCTGCTGCTGTACACTGCTGCTGCTGCACATTGCTGCTGCTGCAGATCTCTGCTGCTGCTGATCTCTGCTGCTGCTGCCCATCACTGCTGCTGCTTTCTACCCTTGTCTGTTGAAGTCGCTCATGCCAAGGGTCCTTGGGAGCACCCCACAACATGACGCCAAATCCCACACGCGCGTGCGCACCTTTCTCCAGGAAGTCCACCAAAAAGTGGGGCGGCAAGTGCGGCAGGAACGACAGCGCCATGATTTGCAGCTCTGGCATGCCTGAGGCGATGTCGTTCTGCGAGCGGCAGCGTGTAGAAGGCGCCAGCCTTATGGATGGGTGCAATCGCGACCGCATCGGGCCTGCGCCGCAGCTACTTTTGTGAAGTGCGGCCCGTCCACTGCACACCGGCCAACCTGCCACCACGGCTAGGCGGGATGGTTGTGCTTTGCATGCCGTTGCTGCAGCGGGCGCCATAGAGCGGTGCTGTGGGTGGCCTAGCAAAAGCTTGGCAGCGAGGGGCGCAGCCCACCTTGATGCCATCCAGGACAAGGCTGTGGTCCGCGTCCAGCAGAGGCACGGCCCTGCACAGGTCGTACGCCAGCTTCTTAATATGCGGGTGGCCCACGCCACCCGCAATAGTGACCTGTGTAAGGGGTGGGGTGCGGCGGGGCGCGTGCAGCAACTCGGGGCGGTTGGCGCGCTCCCGGTGACAAGAGCTGGTTCGCTAATCCCTCATTGCGGTCGTGCTATGCTGACAACCCTACGCCTTTGTGGGATGCAGAAGTTAATCCAGGATCACGGGCTTCCGCACCTGGATCACATCGCTGATCACATTCTGCAGCTCTCTGCCTTCAGCCGCCTCCGAGATAAGGCTGAGGATCAAATCAGCCTGCTGCCCAGCGTCCTCGCCCAGCAGCAGGTCCCTCACTGCGTTGCTGGTCTTTGCCTCCGCCATGCTGCAGCCCGTCTACCGGTAGCGTGCCATACTTATATAATTTGCTTCAAAATTTGGCCAACTATAACAACGAGCATGCACATCGATTGATGAAAGATGATCTGATACCGTAGTCGGTCACTGTCGGAACATCCCGCCTTCACACGGCACCGCGAGCAACGTTGTGATAGTGGCACTAAAGTTACATATGTGCCCTCCAACATACACGAGCTCTGCGCTCGCGGATCTTGTGCTGAGCTACGGTGGACTCTCCCGCTCGCTGCTTCTTCGCGAGAGGTCCACCTCATAATCGAATCCGTATCAAAATCTTTCGGCTCCAGGTCTTGCTCCAGGGCGGCGTCCAATCCGAGAGCAAGCGCCGTCGCCCTGTAGCGGTCAAACGCGCACTGCGATGGCGCCAATGACCGGCGCAGCCGGGTCGCTCGTCAAGTACGACAACCCCGTGCAAGTGGGATCATCTAAGGATGCAAGAGGCAAGGGAAAGGACAAGCTGACCAAGAAGGTGCGAGGATGGTGCGCTGTGGGCTGCGGCCTGCACCGCCCTGCGGCGCCGCCCTTAGCGCACCGCCCGCCTCCAGAGCTGGGCAGCGAAGCCATGATGGCCGGCAGCCGAATTCGCGCAGGGCCCCCTGCCGCCCGTGGAGCAGAAGAGCGCCAGCACCCAGGCAGAGGACATCCTCAACTCCATCCTGCCACCCAGGTGGGATGCGGGCCGCATGGCCCACTGCCGCGCTGTCAATCCAGCTGGTAGCAAAATGCACGCATGCGCCATCCCCACTCCAGCTTGGTCACACAGAGCTGCTTGCATCTATGTCGAGCAAAGCAAGCGTGCGAGCCATCCCCTATGCGCAGGGAGCTGACGGAGGACGGGCAGTTGTGGGTGCAGTACGTGTCATCGACGCCGGCAACGCGCCTTGATGTCATCGTACTGCAGGAGCGCCTGGACCAGCAGCTGCAGCAGCGGCAGGTGCGCGGTTGGGGTGCGCAGCTGCATGATGACTCATGCATGCACAGCAGAAGCTCCGGGCTAGCGCATGCAAGCGGTAAGCAGCCGGTGTGCGCTGCATCGATGCGTGATGTGCAATCATGTCGCTCAGCACAGGCGTCCGCGGGTCGATGCGCTGGCCATGCCCCGCAGGCGAGGGAGACCGGCATCTGCCCTGTGCGGGAGGAGCTGTATGCGCAGTGCTTTGACGAGCTCATACGTCAGGTTGGGGTCTGAGGAATCCCGGCGCATGACGCGCATGCCGCGTGCGTCCAACGGGGCCCGGACTGCCTGACTGTAGGCGCGCATGGGGTCGCTGCGTCAGACGCATGCATCAATCACCCAGGCGCATGCGGGGAGCGGCGGCTGGGGGTTTGCAGTGCAGGTGCCGAAGCGGGGCGTGTGGCATGCAGCAGCGCCGAAGCGGGGCGCGCCTTGCCGCAGGTGACGATCAACTGCGCCGAGAGGGGGCTGCTGCTGCTGCGGGTGCGAGACGAGCTGCGGATGACCACGACAGCCTACCAGGTGCGCCTTGGTGGGGGCGTTGTGGGTGTTTTCGCGCATGAAGAGCGCGAGGTCTGGGCTGTTGCAGCTGGAGTGGCGCACATGAGCGCGAGGATTTGCGCAGGGTGTGCAGCCGTGCGCTCGCCACCTGAGCCAGGCCAGTTTGATGGTGTTCAATTGACTGCAAGCTGTCTGGTGCGGCTTCCTACCCGCGCGGCGCCGCAGACGCTGTACGAGAGCTCGGTTGCGTTCGGCATGCGCAAGGCGCTGCTCGCGGAGCAGGGCAAGGGCGACATGGCCGCGCGCATCGAGGCGCTCGAGGGGGCCGAGCGCGACCTCGCGCGGCAGGTGGCGGAGTGGAAGCTGAAGTGCGAGGCGGTGGAGAAGCGCGAGGGGGAGCGGCGCGAGGCCGAGGCGAAGAAGCACAAGGAGGAGGTGGCTTACCTCGAGTCCTACGCGCGGCAGCTGAAGGGGCAGCTGGAGGCGCTCACGAGCACCGCAGGCAAGAAGGCGGCGGGCGGCGCGGGCTGAGAGGCGGCTCACGGGCGCCGGCGGCGGTGGCGGGCCTGTGAGCGCGCCCCAGCCGGCGCGGGGCGCGCTGGTGGGCGGGAGCCGGTTTCGTGCTGTGAGTGGCATGCCCAGGGCCTAGGTGACCATGCGTTGGTGAGTGTTACACGCATTTATAGCAAGACCCACGGGTTGCGCAGGCCGAAATCAGGAAACCAGTTCACACAACCATAGGAGACTGCCGCGTGACACGGGGGTACCCAAATGCAGGGCGCCACTGCCGCGACTGCCAGCCATCTTGATGCATTTCAATTTTCAAATCAAAGCCCTTTCACTCGGGGCGCGCCGCCCCGCGGCCGTCGGGAGGGCGTCAGGGGGACGTCACTGCGTCGACGCCGGCCCCGCGCTGATGACCGCCTCGGCCACCTGCAGCGCCGCTACCACGTCGGCCTGGATGCGCTGCACCAGGCGCTCGTACTTCAGGGCCTGCACCACCTCCGCGCCGAATGAGTAGACCAACGACTGGCGGGCGACCTCCGCCGGGATGCCGCGCGCCCTGTTTGGGGGGGGAGTGCAGAGTGTGCGCGTTGAGGGCGGGCGCTGCGGATTGGCACGGCTGTGGCTGCGGTGGGAGCCGAGCAGAGCCGTACAGCTGCGTTATTGCAAAGGCACAACTTGAACCCTCAAAAGTGTTGCCCAAGCTGCAGTTCTGAGCTGGGCAAGCCCACACGGCCCTGCGAATCCCCTCTAGAAGTTCACAGCCCCAACGCAAACGCAATCATGTCCGCACACGTGCCTGCACGCACGCATGCAGCACACAAACACAAACACGCACGCACACACACACATACACACACACACACGCGCGCGCGCGCACACACACACAAACACACGCACACACACACACATACACATACACATACACAAACAGACACAAACACACAAGCACACACATACGCACCCATCAGAGCATGCTTGCACGAGCGCATGCGCCCACCAGCCCCCCCCCCAAAACACACACACACACACACACGCGCGCGCGCGCGCGCACGCATACACACACACACACACAAACACATACACATACACACACATACACACACATACACACACACGCGCGCGCGCATACACACACACAAACACAAACACATACACACACAAACATATGCAAACCAACCTGAAGTAGAAGAGCTCCTCCTCCGACAGATCGCTGATGGCAGCCCCATGGGTGCACTTAACGTCGTCCGCGATGATCTGCAGGTTGGGCTTGACGTTGACCGTTGCGCGCGGCACGAGCAGCAGGTTGCGGCTCAGCTGCCCGGCGTCGGTCTTCTGCGCGAGCCGGTTGACCTGGCGGGAGGTGGGGTGGCGCGGGGCATGCTCAGGGCGGGGATACGCTGTGAGGCCGTCCCAAGTTGAGGCACTTGCTGATGGCCTTGTCTGCTGCAACACTCGCAGCAAAGTGAAATGGGCTTGTTCTCCGCAACGACCGGCCGCAATAAGGAAGCGAGCATCCAATCTCCAAGGAATCAACATTCACAAAGGCTCCTCAATTCCAAGGCCAGGGTGAGCACCCATCCTGCCAAGCTGCGGCCGAACCCCGCGCCCCAAAAAGCCCCCCGCCCACCTTCACGTTGCCGTCAAAGACGCCCCGCCCGCTGGCGTGGCTGACGATGCACTTGTGCAGCTGGTCCGCCTCCCCGTTCGGGTGGTCCAGCACCAGCTTCGTGTGCAGGTCCTGCAGCTGCGACGCGCCCGCCAGCAAAAAGTGCCGCATGCGCGTCGCCGTCTCGGGGCCGCCCTGCGCGACGCCGACGTCGTGGCGCGACAGGCCGCCGCCGACGCGCGCCTCCACCAAGCTGTATGAGCTGCCCTCCCCCTGGTCCACGAGCGTCGCTTTGAGGTGCACCGACCCCGGCGCCTCGCGCTGCGCGTAGCCGTGGCGCAGGCTCGCGCAGGCGTCGAGCAGCACCTCTGCGACCGCGAACACCGCGTGCGCGCCGGCGGCGGCGCCGGCGGCGGCGGAGACGAACTCCTCGAGCAACTCCAGCTCGGCGCCCTTGCCCAGCGCCACCAGCAGCCGCGGCGCGCTCGCGGCCAGAGCGCGCGCCCCTCCGTCACTGGGCGGCGCCGCGGTCGCGACGTGCACGACGTGCAGCGGCCGCTCGATGCGGGCGCGCGCGGGCACCAAGATGACCAGTGCGTCGGCGGCGAGCGCGCCGTTGACGACGGCAAAGGGGCCGCCCCTCACGTTCGAAAGCTCGCCCTGTCGGGGCGGCAGCGAGGGGCCCGGCGCATGGCGTAACAAACAGGGTCCGAAGCACAGCTGGCGGTTGTCAACCACAACGATGCGAGCGTGAGCTTTCAGGAACAGGGCAGGTCGCCGGAGCCGGCGCTGCGGATGAGGTCAAGTCAGCAACGGGGCACCCACCAGCCGCTGCAGCACGTCCGCGGGCGCCCCCGCCGCGCCGCCGACATAGACGCCGGCCGGCAGCGCGCTGAGGTCAGACAGCTCCGGCCGCAGCCGCCCGTCCACCAGGACCGCCACGCTGCCCGCACCCTCCGGGAAGCTCAGCCGCTGCAGCAGCTCGGCGTCGACCGGCGCGCCGGGCGGGGCTGGCGCCAGCGCGGCAGCGGTGAGGGGCGAGACGTCGGTGTATCGGTACTCCTCGTTGCGGGTGCTGGGCACGCGGAGCGTTGCGAGCGCGGACGCGCAGGCGCTGCGCAGGGCCGACAGCCTACGGGGCGGGTATGTGTGCGTGACGGGCTTGATTGGACGATGTTCGGCGCCGGCGCCTGCAGTTTGCCATTGCACAGCTCACAAAGCTGATGACAACGAGCGGCGGTGCGCCGGCGCAGTCGCCGCACTCACCCGGCAGGTGCCTCCTCCGCGGCAAGCGGCGCGACGTTCTTTGCGAGCCATCTGTCTTCGACTTGACTAGCTAGCGCAGTCGCTGCGGCCCTGGGTCGAACAATAGCTCTTCCGGCGAATGCCCCTGGCCAGCATGTGGATCCTGCGCAAGCGTGTATCACGTATTGTAATCATATCAACTTCACGATGCATGACAGATCCCCTCATTGGTGTCTGCTGTTCCACGCACTCACCACGCCCGCTGCCGGCGCAGCATTGCTGTCCGCGCTGCATTGGTGTGCGTTGCATCTATGAAATCAAGGATACCTAGACGCTGCACGTGCCAAAAACTGTGGCAGGACTCGAGTGCGATCTCGTGCAAGCTGACGGGCTGGATGGTCTTAGCAGTCCATTGGAAGGTCTGATATCAAACTGCGCACCGCCACGAACGATATTGTTGCCACCCCCGCCGCGTGCCGCTTTTCATGCCACCCCGCCGCCTCCCAGCCTTTTGTCGTTTCACCAGGGGTCAGCGGATTTCGGCGGCACCGTAGATCCTGCAGTAATACTTATCTGTGTCTGGGGTACATCCTTCTGCCCCACCTGCTGCACAAGCTCTCCGGTCTCGTTTCCTACGGGTTGGACCGGTCAAACGGCCACCAGCAGGGCAGCCACCGCAGCCACCCCTGTGGCCCGTGCATGCAGGAGATGCGTTCACCGTCAGCGTCAGTAGTATTGGCTGTGTGCGTTGTTGTTTGATGTTGGGCGGGCTGGCTTCACCAACTTGCCGTTTGGCTGGCTGGTGTGTTGTCACCCGTGAGTGGCGCCCTGAGGGGGGCGCGCACTGCAAACATCAATGCCCCGCAGCACTTCCATGCTGCATCTGCCTACGCAATTACAGGTGCTACCATGCAGCATCCCTTGAAGGTTGCGCGCATAGCGCCCCTGCCATCTGTCATGAGCGGAGGCACCGTCATCACAATGTGTGTTGTGCAAACTCTTGAGACAAGCATGAGACAACAGGAGACAAGCGTCAAATAGCGCCGTGGCGTCAGCCGGATGTCGAGCATGACCGTGGTGCCAAGGCACGCATGCTGTTGCGAGCTGGTCGTCACAGTCAGTGCGAGTGGTCCAGTCCAGTCGGCATCACTCACTAGAGATCGCTTGGCCAAACTTCCTGACCAACGCCTTGAGACGGTAGGACCAAACGGTACATTTCTGTGATGATATAGGCCAAACAGAGAGCTTCGTGCTCCGAACGCAATGCTAACCCAATGGGGTGGCCGCCCGGCGCTGGTTGGGCGCCAGCAGCACAGAGTGAACATAGCAAGTTCCATATATAGCGATGTGAACAGCGTCAGGCGGGTCATGCCGCCGTCAGATCACTGGAGACTGCGCACTCAGCAGCGGCGCCTGAAAGCCTTCAGGGCAGACGACTGCAGTGAGGGATGCAGCGAACCAGTCCATGATCGTCCGCGGAGCTATACACATCCTACCGAGGGTGGAGGTGCGTGGTGTGCAAAGCGGCGCCAGACAGCATCCTGGATGCACTTTGCTGCAGGCTGCATGCTCCGCCTGCACAGAACACATTGGATCATCATCATGCCTATATATACACCCTTGAAGATGGCGGCGGAGCTTGCCTGGTCAGTCCGCCCACATGAGTCCCAACAAAACACCCCTTTTGGTTGTTGTAACCACCATGCGCTTCCTCGACAGCCAACAAGGCACATGGTAGCAATCCTAGCAGCCGCAGCCACACCATCAGCAGCAGCAGCACCCGCAGCAGCAGAAGCAGCAGGTGCAGCAGCAGCAGCAGCAGCAGCAGCAGCAGCAGCAGCTTGCCGCTGCGAAGCCGGCCGCACCATCCCAGGGCGGCGGCCCCAGCCTTTTTCAGCCGCCCCTTTGCAGTCGTGGCGGCGGCAGCAGCGGCGCCTGACGGCGGCGGCGAGCAGGACGAATTCGAAGAATACGAAGAATACGAGGAGTATGAGGAGTACGAGGAGGGGGAGCAGCAGGCGGCCGCCGCCCCCAGGCAGCTGCCCGCCGCCGCCCAGGAGCAGCAGCCGCAGGGGCCCGCCGGCGAGGGCGGGGAGGGCGAGGATGAAGGCGAGCAGGGGGAGGAGGACGAGGGGGAGGGGGACGCAGAGGCCGCGGCGGGGGCGGGTGCTTACCCCGAGCCGAAGCAGCGGGGGATGTACCTGCAGAACCTTCTGTCGGAGGCTGTGGAGGACTTTTTGGCGGTCCAGGTCGCTGCACACGGTGAGAGCGCGGTGGGGTGTCAAAAACTAGTCTAAGGCTGCCCGACTGGTGGGTTGAACTGCAAGGACGGGCGGGGGCGGCGCTTGGCCAACGCTGGATGGCAACTAGGAAGGAAGCAGACGTGGTACAGTAGGCCGGGGCGCCTCGGCCCCACGCGCGTGGGTCGGAGGGGCAGCTGCCGAGCGGGTCGGAGCAGGAAGGCGCGAAACGGGGAGCGTGGCGGGGCAGACGGGCGCGCGCGCCCGCAGAGACCGCGGCGCGCGGCCGGCTGTGCCTTCGTCCCGCCGTGCCGCGCACGCCTCGCGCGCCGCCCCCTGCCTCGTGGTCCCGCCCCTCACGCACCGCCTGTCGCGGCCTGCCCCGCAGAGAGCGCCTCGGACACTGTGGTGTTGGGCCTGTGCGACGACCCAGATCTCCTGATCCAAGGGGACCTGTTCGTCTGCCGCCTCGACTTCTCATTGGGAGAGGGTATCGTGGATCGCCACCAACAGGTGGGGGCGACGGGCGCAGCAGGGCCCCCCTGCATCGGCGGCGGCTGCGCGCGCTCGGGCGGTGCCCTGATGGCGCCGTTCCCGCGGGGCGGCGGCGGCTGAGTCGTGGGTCCTGTGTGGGTCCTGCGAGCTGCTCACTGCGATCCCCTCGCGCCTCGCGCTCGCGGGTGCGGCGCCGCAGGTGCTGGAGGCGCTCGATGCCGGCGCGACGGTGGTGCTCGCCGCGGCGGACCAGCGGCCGCAGCTCCTAGAGGCGTTTGCGGAGCGGCAGCGGGCGCAGGAGGCAGAGGCCGCGGCCGCGGCCGGGGCCGGGGCCGAGGAATTTGAGGAGTATGAGGAATATGAGGAGTATGAGGAATACGAGGAGTTTGAGGAGTTGGAAGTGGCAGCCGGGGCCGAGGCGCGGCGCGGCGCGCGCGCCAAGGGCGAGGGGCGGCGCGAGGGCGGCGC